CGCTGGTCCCTCTTGGTTGCCGAAACGTTGGCTTGAGCCCTTTGCTCTCGCCCTGTTGCTCTTCGTCCTCCCCCTGCTCAGGCCTCGTTACTGCAGAACCCGAGAGCTCCTTAAAAACAAGCTCCTCCGTGTCGCCTGTGTGGAGGCAGAGACATCGGTGTGCGCGTCTCTCCCTCCTTCCTCTGCTGCCTGTGTGTTTGCTCGGTGGGGCTGTTTTCGGTGCCCTGGGCCTTAGGCAGAGCTTTGAATCTGGGGCCAGGTGAGGCAGCGCAGCTGAGGGGTCCGTGGAAAGCACACGGAAAGGCTGAGCAACTCTTTTCTATACTAGGTGTGCAATTATTTACATTTTTTCTGACTGCCCATGTAGGATTCAGTGTTTCTTTTTCAGTGCAATCGATGCTCTGGGCTGCTTTGGTAAAATCACTATGATCCATGCTCTTCAGAAGTCAGACTAGAGTGTATTCCTCCCAACTTTTCTGCAGCTGTACGGATCTGGAACTGTGTGACGAGAAGGACTAGGATCAGTAATGATGAATGTATGACAGCCAGGAAGGAGAACAGATAAATCCTAGAAGAAGCTAGAAAGGGAATTTTGGGTCCAACAGCAGCTTTCATAGTGGAAGCAGTGGGTTCGTAAAGTAGATTTGAAAGGATTTGAAGAACCATTGGAGTTGGAAGGAGTTTGGCAATGTTGAGTTGATGTGGAGGAAGCGTTATGAACCAGAGAAAACTGAAAAGGGTTGACTATAGATTGTCCAGTAAAAATAAATATGTTCTCAGACCAAAGAGTTTTCATTCTGGGCTTAGGTTATTAACTGGTGGCACCTGTATTTTCATTTTCAAAAACTATTTATGATCATCATTATGTTCCCTACCACTACGTTACTTTTTCCATTTCTACAAGAATATAGGTTCCTTACTTGCTCCTCTGTCAATTTAATTACGTTTTTGTCATGCTCCTGTTGCTGTAATGATGTTCCGTGTGGTGTACCAATGCCTGTACCAGTGGCTGCTGGAGCTTTCTTCATTATTATTGGCAAAAAAAGAAGTAAATGCAGAGATTGGGAGTTTATTTTTCACTCTGAAGTTTATGCAAGAGTTATACAGATGTAGTCCGTAAATGCTTTTTCTCCCTGTAGAGTGTATTTATTATATTGGTCTTTCATTTTGTATAAATATATGTAATTATAACAATGAATTAATATTTATATTTTAAAACCATAGATTTAGCATCTAAGAAAAAATGATCGGGAGTAAATAACTTCCTAGAAAGTGGTGTTAATTTTTCTTGTTGAAAGAATGGTTGTGGTAAACCAGCAAGTTTTTTCTGTTCTGTGCTAGTGCTGCATCTTCCTAAATATCATTTGCATTGTTTTGGTTGTTTAAATGGAGTGGGATTTAGTTACTGGAGTAAGCCATATAGCATTTGTAAAAATCTGTGGTTTAAATCTTATGTACTAAACGTCTCATTTTTTTCCACATCTATTCCCTTTTTAATATTCTTTGGTTACAAGCAGCCCTTTTTGAGGTGGTAGGACTGATAGACATCGTACTGAAGTATGTTAATATGTTATTCTGGAGTATCTTAATATGCTGTAGAGGTTTTTCTCCATTCATATATTAACACTATGTTTTTCCTGAATTAATTCAACATGTAAGATGTCTCTGTTTTTAATTTTACCTGCTGAATTAGGGAAGTGGTGTAGTGCCAGGATTAATGTGTACTAGGCTGTGGATAAGAGCAGCAATGTAAATACAGTGAATTTGTGACGAGTCCTGAAAAATACATAGTTTTGTACTTAAACATGGGAACGTTTTTGTTTTGTGTACTGGAAAATACTGACAGTTTTGGCATGAACTTTCCAGAAACACCGTAAGGCTTAAGATCAAAACCAAATAGGGTTACTAAATTATTTGTAATTGACTTAAGCCCATTGTAGTTAATTAAAAATCATGGCAGCTGCCCTTACACTTATCTAGGCAAACTTCCTTTCACTGTTTTAGGCTTACTGGCATTTTGTTTTTAGAAATACTTTGCCATAAAAAAGTTAATTTCCCCCCCCACCCCGGCCCTGTAAATAATAAGGGTAAGGGATGAAAAAGTATGGAAGAGTAGGAGTTCATTATAGGATCTTAAATAGCTGTTTCCTGCAAAAGAAAGGAAAAGGTATGGCATTTTTTAAATGTTACTCATGTACTACAATTCTCTGGAGCACATTTGCATCATCTTATTTGACAACTGAATTTGTGTTAACGAACGGATTCTGCATCCCCTGCATAAATTATAGACACAAAGTCACGCAGGCAGATGTCAGTTCGTGGTTTGAGGATTGAGATTCTGCCGTGCAACCGTACGTATACCGTCTTTCAGCTTTTTCCAGCACGGCTGCGGTGCTGCTTAGGACTTTCCACAGAAGCAGGGAATGACTCTTTTAAGAAGTGTAAAGATTACGGATATGGAGTATCATTAAAAACTAGTTAGGCATGATGGGTGGAGAAATATAAATTTGTATTGTTGAACTAAAGGAGACCGTGGAAAGCAGCTTTCTGTCAGTCACGGGCAAGCCTTGTATCAACAAGTCCCTACAATGTCTGGAAAAATTATTATCTTCCAGTTAAATTGTAACAAAAAGACTGCTTTCAACTTGCAACATGGACTTTGGTTATTTTAAGTCCCTAGCTAGGGAACATGTAGCACGTAGAAGCCCTTCTTCCATGAAGCATACTCCTTGTTTCAAACCTCTTTTGAAAAAGTTCTTTCTGAAGTAATTTTTGTGAAAGTCAGCTCTTGAAATCAGTATCTAACGTAGGTATGTGATTTGCTTTTAGGATGATTCCTCTCCAGAGTTTGTTTTTGAATGGAAGGATGCTCTTTTCCAGTAGAAGATGGTGATCCTAATTTATGATCATGGAGAAGGGGATAAGTTCAGTAGAAGTGTTACCTTCCAAATCATCTCAGGTTACAGCTGTAAAAGTGCTGGTCAAAGAGCCCGAAGCAAAGCAAACCCAAAGAGGGAAACGAGTGGGATTTGTGCTTGTCCATGCAGGTAAGATGCAGAAGTGTAACAGCTGGAATGGAAATAGAGCACATGCAAACTAATTATCAACTACAATTTTATATTGGCTTTGGACTACTAGTATGTTAGTGAAGTGACGTTAACTTTGAGTGTCAATCTGGGAGAGCAGAGTATGATTGGAAGTTGCATTGGCTGGAGGATCTTGGAAATCATTAATGAATTTGTAGGTCTTAGGGTATTCTAAATTCTTTTTTTCTCCTTGACAAAGAGAACCGCAAACAAAATCCCTAAATTAACTGGTTATGAAATGTCAAATTCTGCACTTAGCTGCTAAGCTTGGGAAATCTACAAAACGCGAGAGATCTTCCAGTCTACTTCCTTACACTCCAAAAATATCAAGCAAGCTGGTTCATTACTGACAGTTTTTTTGTCTGACTTCTCCCTAAGGACAATCTGGTGCAGACTTTTTAAAACCTCCTTAAGCCATTTATTGCAAAACTACTTTTTTTTTTTTCCCCCTTTCAAATATTTTCCTCCAAGTCTATTTTTTTTATATTATTCATATTCAGGTGAGTTACTATTTATTTCTTCCACATGTACTATAGAGCTCACCTGCTCAAATGTGATACATAAATGATGTTATGTTCCAGCCTAGGCCACTCTATGATTCCGTATTCTGTGTGTGTCGTGCTCAACACGTTCTTTTCTAATAGGTTCCTTATAAATATTATAAATCTGGAAATATTAGTCATGCTTATATCTGGCTTTATATTTTTTTTTTATCATATGTGTGGTGAAATGAGATGAAATTGAGCAAAGTAGCCTTGTGACACCTAAAATACTAAAAAACCACCAGCTTGGTTTATGAAATCCTGAAGTTAAAAAAAAAAGAAAAAAACCCTCATAGAACTTATTCTGGGTTCATATTTGATGGTCTTGGTATTCTGCTTTAAGACCAAATAGAATTGTTCAATATGTTGTCTTCTACAGGATTACTCTGCTTAACATTCTTTTTTATTTTGCTACATTATTACAACTTATTTTATTAGAGATTTTCAAAGCTAATATTTCTAGAGGTGAGAAAAGGGAAGTTGAGCACAAAAATGCAAGCACTCTTCTTTCAAGTGCAAACCCCCAAAAAACAGAAGAAGATGGAATTTAAATATTAGCATGCCAATTTTGTCTGTTATTTTTCTGATGCTGTGTTTAGTTGAATAGCGGGCGCTGATAAATTTTTCAGCTATGGAAGCAGACAGTGGCTACAAAATAGAGAAAAAATGGTTAGATGCACCAGGATAGACATAAAGACTGAAAATAGGAAAAAGGTGAAATGATTTGTATGATCTTGATTTCCAGGGACTCTCCTGTTTCTAAAGCAGGAGTAATGAGTTCTGAAAATGTAGCATAAACATAAGAAGATGAACACAGTGGTAACTGCAGTAAAAGAAGATTGGAGTTTTGACTTCAAATCAAAGGTTTTGCCCAATGATGGACAATAAATAAAATAGCTATGCTGGAAATCCTTCAAGAATTGGCAAAACTGGAATCTCTTGGAGACACTTTACAGGAACAGACTGTATGATGCTGAGATTTATACTTCTGTGATTCTGCATACTTACTCTGTGTCCTGTGTTTTACTGAGGGTATTTGACTTAATGTTGGAATGCATAAAATTGTCAATCATTGATATAAAAAGGAAATACCAAAGTAATCCTGAATAAGGAAGGCTGCATTTATCTTAATTCTTTATGTGAGCTATAGACTGTAGTTTGACAGGTAGCATAATCTCTTTTCTTTTTGCCTTAATTGCAGGTGCAGGTTATCATTCCGAATCCAAAGCTAAAGAGTACAAGCATGTGTGCAAAAGAGCCTGTCAGAAGGTATGTCTTATCAGCTCCGCACTCTTGTAGGGGATATATAAGAAACTTATTTGGTGGTGCTGTCCCTTCAGTAAGAATGGGCAAATCTGGGTTCAGCTACTCTGGGTGTACGTATTTCTAGAGTAAAAATGGAGCAGCGACCGTTAACGTGACACAGAGTGTGTGGCTGTGAGGTGCAGCAACGTTCTTATCAGTGGTGACAAATAGCAGGCACCAAAGGAACAGTGGGGAAACAGGTGAAGGTCACAGTGAGTACACGGAGCATTCCTTCAGCTTCCAGCACTCATCCTGAGGCTCTGGGGTTTGTGGAGCTAGATATGTTGCCTGGATTTTTCTTTCATCAAAGTCCACTCTTTTTGGAATTTATTTGAACTCTAGCATCCACATTGCTCTGTGGATGCAGAGATTTCTAGAATTCTTTTAATCTCCTCCAATAACTTAGCTTTGAAACTGGCGAGTCCTGTCAACTGATGAATGAGAAGCTGAAAAAACAAAATTTCTAATGTGTTTAGCTTTCTCTGGAGCGAAGCAACTGGAGACCTTGGCAGGCTTTTTAGAAGACTCTCAGAGTTGGCTTCTGATAATTTTCACTTCATCTTACAGTTCTGTTGCTGAATCCTAATACCGATCTAATTTTGTAATGAGAAGCCTCAGAAATCATCCAAATGTCACATTAGCTTCATTAAAGTTGTGCATTAGCCCTGGTTGTTTTCATTTTCCAGCTAATTATGTGTCAAAAAAGATTGCTTGCTATTGAATTTAAGTCTACTTTGAGATTCTGTTTGGTTCCTGAGGCTAGATAGCTTACGTCAATAACCTGTATGAAGAGCAAACAGTCAAGGGTTTGTCTTGCGACTGAAGATGCAGCCATAGTTGTTTTTTTGGGGTTCCCCAGGAAAACCTGACTGTAATATCTTGTCCAGTATGGAACTAAGAATCATATAATGGTTTGGGCTGGAAGGGACCTTTAGAGGCCATCTGGTCCAACCCCACTGCAGTGAGCAGGGACTTCTTCAACCAGGTCAGATTGCTCAGAGCTCCGTCCAGCCTGACCTTGGAAGTTTCCAAGGGTGAGGCTTCTACCACCTTTCTGGGCAACCTGTTCCAGGGTTTCGCCACCCTCGTTGTAAAAAATTCGTCCTTATTTCTAGTCTAAATGTACCCACTCTTATTGTACCCCTTGTCTTATTGTAACAGGCCCTGCTGAAAACATTGTCTCCTTCTTTGTTCTAGGCCCCTACAATAAAGTCTCCAATATTAGGCTCTAGAAGTTCATTTGTGTGCATGTATGGCTGGAAGATAACATTGTCTTGTCTCTTAGATGAGCTTACTTGTAGGTTCAGTTCAGTTTCAGGAGAATTGCAATATGTGGTGCTAGGGATTTTTGTTGAATCATAGAATCATAGAATGGCCTAAGCTGGAAGGGACCTTAGAGATCACTTTAATCCAGCCTCCCTGCCGCCAGGGGCTCCACCTCTCGATCAGATCAGGCAACACATGGGGACTGAATGGGAATTAGAAACTTCTTGACTGAAACATTAAATCTGACCATGCAGGAATCCGCTACTAAATGCAGCGTTGCAATTTCAGAGCCTTTAGGTCTGCTCTCATGTGGCGCAAACTGGTTATTTACAGTGGCTATTTCCCTGCTTTCATGTCCCCTTACATTTTAAACTAATTTGATGAAGGTTTTATCTTGTTCAGGACTAGGAAAATGTAAAGCTTAGTCACACAATATTAGAATAACTAAAAATTCTGTTTTACAGGCAATTGAAAAGCTACAGGCTGGTGCTCTTGCAACAGATGCAGTGACTGCAGCACTTATAGAATTAGAGGTATGAGTTTCTGACTAGTAGTAAACATGTCTCTTGGGTACATTACATTGCCAGATTTTTCAGTAGGAAGGTGCTTGTTCAACTGGGAAACCTACTGAGATTTCCATTTTTGTGCTACGTACATTAATTTTATCTTCTGCTTTTCCACTATAGTTTGGGTTATATTTATTTAAAGACTTTCCAAAAATGCAAACTGAATACACGTTGTCTAGTTGGTGCAATTTGATTATCATCTTAGGTATGTCTCATCAGATGGTCTTTAACCTTCAAGAATAAGTACAGTCATTAAAGACTTATTGTAAACTTTGTAGGGAACTTTATTTCTGACTTACCAAACTACAGGCAGACTGTACTGGCTCTGCTGCTTAGGGAGTGAAAAAAATGTTACTGGTCACAAGTTAACTAGAAATTCTAGGTCTGGGATAAGTCCTCATTCCTTTTGTTTGGATTAATATCTCACACTAAGTTATGTTTCACTTCCTGAAATTATGATCCATAATTATATGTATTTTATATGTATATATGGATTTTATGTGTAGTTAGCCTTTAGCAGTTCTGTTAACACTCATGTAGGAATTATATTGAGGTAACTGAATATGTTTTCTTGGGTTGCGTTATTCATACCTTTTTCGGTTCCTTGGGATAATTCCACAAAAGTGATTGCGTAAATTTAGTACTGCTTGTCTCTCCATCCAATTAAGGGACTTTGTGAGAATGAGGGAGGAATTTGAAGTTCTTACTTGTCCCACAACATACTTCTACTGTGCATTTAAATTAATGCAATTCCCCAAGGCTTTTTTTTCTTACATTTTTTGCTTTGTGTCTGTATTATCTCTGAGAAGATAAGAGACTAGAAGCAGGCTGTTCAGAGAAATGTGACTTCAGTGTAAGATAATGTTTTTTTTTTTTCCGATTTTTATTATAAAATATATATAGGAAAATAGGACAAGTAATGTTTTTATTTCAGAATAGTTTTTGTTAGTTAAGATAGAAAGTCTCCATAATCGTAAAGAGATGAGCAGCTCTTTGTGAGATTTTTTGAGAAGTATCTTACTGGGGTGGTGAGATTTTTATAGCATCTGACTTCAGTGAAGGGTTTCTAGGAAATAATGTAGAAGAGAGTGAAGCTGAAAGAATCTCTGGGATATATATGAGGCAATTTGGTTATTGTCCCAGGTCTACTAATCCCTCATGACAGTAATGATTGAAACAGGGATTCCTCTTCTCCTGTAAGGAGTAATTGCCTTTTCCTCTCCATTAGTAAAGCAGGAAGGCAAGGTAAGTGTTGTGCTGTAAAAATAATTTCCTGCGTTTGGAATTTATAGTAGTATTCGGAAAGGATTAGCGGTGGATTTGCTTACACACACGTTAGGAAAGTGTTAATTAACATACTTGATAGTATTAGCGTAAGGCAGGCAGTATGTACCTTAGGATGTGTTAGACATGCTGCCTGGGAGCCAAGACTTCTGTCGTACTTTTACCTTGGCAAGCTTCCTGGCCTTAAACAGCACTTCTGGTCTCCACTGAGCTGTTCAAATATGCTTTCATGTGTTATCTTAGCCATCAGAATATAGCTGTGTGACAAAAAAAGGAACATCCCTAATGGGATTATTTATAATGCACTTCCATAAACTAACCGAGGCTGCTGTTACTCCCCAAGTTTAGTTTGTGTGTTAGTTCCCTCCTCAGTGGAAAAAAATAAAATAAAATTTGCTTTGTTTTGTGATTTTTGGTGTGTTCCTGAGCTGCACAGAAGAAAAGATATTTTAGGAAGATTAACCTAACGGTTATATATCTCTTTGCAACTGTGCCTGGGGTAAACTTTTTGTCTGTTTTTTTTATCCCCAAGAGACTTCTTTTAGTCTGAAGTGACACTGTGTGGAAAGTTATGGCTTTGAGATGAAATAAAAATCTTATTATGCTCCAATCAGCTACGTTTTTAGCCTTATCTGTCTTGCTACTATTGTGGTGATGCCTGCCATTGATCCACTTTCTGGTTTTGTAATTGTTCTAGGTAATATTTTTATGCATACTGTTGCATAAAACCCGTTCTTTCCCTTCTCCCTGTTTTTAACATTAAACATTATTTTGTTCAGGTCATTAAAGTAATTATTTGCTTTCATTTTTTCATTCGGTGATATATATAACCTCTTAACTGTAGGTTTTTCCTTCTGTTGCTGAGACAAAGAATATTGGGTTTGGGATTTGCGCTTCTTTTAAATTCAAGTACGTAGCTGCGCAGTTATGTTGAGGAAAAATTAAATGTCTACCCAAAGCAGGTGTGGTTTGCAGTGTCAGTTTTTTTGATCTGGTCTGGGAAATTGTGCAGTGTTAGACTGTCAGCTTTCAAAATGTTGAAAGGTTTGTATCTACCCCTACCTCATTCTGTACTCCGCCTCCAGACACCTCTGTCATTTCTGTAGCTGCATCTAATTCTGATGTTTTTCCTATCGCTCTATAGAAAACGGAAAACTGCACGTGAGCAAACCAAACAGAATAGTTTTTTCTCATAGTTACAAAACTTCAGGGGTAAGAAATTTAAGTTTGTGTGTTGACAGTAGCTCTAATGAGCTATCGCTACTCTTTTGTTTGTGCAAGAAAAAGCATTGGCTTTTTGTAAAGTACTTTACCGTTTTGAGTTGGCAAATACGAAGTGAAAACCTGTATGAAAAAGATGTTTTTTAAGTATGCCACTAATACAGATTATGATACAGAAAACAGAAGTTTGTGTAGTGTGATAACAGATTCCATGATGAAGTACTATTTGTAACTCCTTGGTATTTTGATTGCTGTAGAACACATTGCTGTGAGTTTATGTGAAATATTTAGTCACTTTTACAGTTCTCTAGGACTCATAATGCTGTATTCCGAAAATCTATGGTTTTTGCAAGACATAAATATCTGTTCGTGGAAGTGTCACAAAAGATGAATTTTCTTCCTCGGTTCCACTCAATTACACAACTCCTATTACATGGAATTTCAGCTAATCCAAGAGGCATCACTTCAAAGACTTGTTGAGGCGCGAGACTTGCTCTTGATCTTTTATGAGCAAGCTGACAGTTTGCTTGTGGTATGCTGTCCGTTTTTTGTTGGTTTTTTTTGCTCTAAACAGAAAATGAACAGTCTTTCTTTATTGGACTATATGAATCTCAAGTGAAATAGTGTTCTGTGATTAAGATAGTAATGCTAATAGTTAACTAGAGAAAAGGCAGATTTCTTTTGCAAAGTGACAAGGGCAGCTGACCCAGAATACTCTTGAAATAACTGTGCTCGTCTTCCTAAGCATCGGCTGTATTTGATAAGTTGATTAAAGGCAGTTACGTTTCACAGTTTGTCAACTCTGTCATTGCAGAGAAACAAATGAACGTTACCTTTTTCTGCTTTTGATGATAAAATGGTCCAGACAAGGTGTTTTGTAAAACTCATCATTTACACCGTATGCTTCTGCCAAGACATGATGGCGGTACCGTTTCTTTTTGCACTCTTGCTATCAGCCACCGTATCAAGTCCGAGTTTCTCTTGAAACACACAGGGATTTGGGCAGCATTTTTGGGGAGAGAGGGAAGGTCCCCCTTCACACTCCTCCCTTAAAACTTGCAGTTTTCAACAAAACCACATACTGATTGTATTGGTAGTTTGCTGTGAGAACAGTTTGCCATTTCAAGCTTTCTTTTTTTTTAACTGTAGAGCACTTCAGAAAGTTTACCGTTCCGGGTACTGGAGACAAGAAGTTTGTTCTAAAGAATGATGAAGATTTCCAACTTTTTCTAAGTTTATTAATAACCTTGTGTAAATCACTGTTTCTTTAATGTGACTTCAGCAGGGGGCTCTTCATGAATGTAATTTAAATTTGAAGTTAGTATTATCGATGAGGAAGAGAATGTCACATTTTGGATTTCAACTTTCTTGCTACTGAAATTGCTCAATTTATTTTGCGCTTTGTTGTTGTGCATCGACGCAAAGGATATTTTGAACCTGTTGGTATACTCAGTAGGTTTTTGTGGCTGTCAGCAAAATTTTGCACTGAAAGAGCTTGTTTCTTGTTTTTAATTTGATTTTGTTTATTAGTTTTATAGTAATAAAGACTTTTGAATATACAGTCTCAGTCCCAAGGAGTTATCTTTTAAAATGAAAGCAGAATGCCAGCAGCCTTATTTTGTTAAGGCAGTCATCATAGATGAACTTTTAAGGGATAATGAGCTGGCAGTTGTTAATTCTAGTTAAAAGTAATACTGTGATGTTTTACAGCAGAGTGCCTAACAGTAATCCATGACAAAAGTAGTTTTTGAAACCATTTTAGTTGGTGTAATTGAAAGGAATATGACTCATCCTTGTAGACAATTAGTTATTGTCACTAAATTCCCACAGGAAAACCAATTTTAAAATTATAGTGTGTAAAAAGAAATGCCTGTAGACTTTGAATCCTTCTTAAAAGTTGCAAATAAACCATGACCAAAACTGTATTGAAGATGGATGAAATGTTCTTTAATGCTTATTGAAATTAAAGTATTTTGACTATTTGCCTGGTTATAATTCAGGACTATTAGTGTTACAGTGTTGAGTAACTTCTTCACGGATTCCAACTTAGACCGCAGCTAGAAACTTTAGCGTGCCTGTGTTTGCTGCCAGAACATTTATAAATATATCCTGAAGTAAAAAGGATTCTAAAAATAAAAATAATACACTTGATAGCTTGAGAGTATTTTATGTGATAGGTAACTTGGGAAAAAAAAAAATCTCGTTTCTTATCTTAAACCTTTGTATTATCTCCTTTGCTACAGGTTTGTACTTACAGGCTGTATGTTAGAGACACTTCAGTGGTGGAGTAATAGCCAGGTAGTCTAGTATTTCTCATATAATTGAAAGCTTATGTTTTGTTAAAATGCTATGAATAGCTATTTGTATTTTCCCTCTTTTTTTTTATTTTCCTGTATTAGTAGGGCTTGCTGTTAACATATAAAGCTGATGCTTGGTTTGCTCGCTTGTCTCTTTTCAGCGTCCTTAGAGATATAAAGGCTAATCTCTGCTTGTATTTTTAAATAAAAGTATATTCCTTTTCCTCCTTTCCCCTCTTCCCTCCTCCTGGGCCCATGCCTTGACTGGGTTTTTCTCCATCTGATGGCAATCGTGTTGTTCCTGCAGTGCTAGTACTGCGTTGTTTTGTCCAAGGGTGTGAAGAGACTGCTTCAGTTAGCTCAGTTTTTCTTCCCCAACTGAAAGCATACAAGCTTCTGTTTTAATAATGGTTCTGCATCCCTTGAAGGTTTTGAATTTTCATTTCAAGATACAACTTAATTTTCACAAGCTGTTGTGAAATCCATTTGTGTATCAGAGCCTTGAAATCTTTTGGTCCAGCTTTGCAGAGACTGTTGTTTTCAAAAAGAGGTGTGTTTATGTGGTGTATTTCATGTCCTTGCCTCTTCATAGAAGTAGATATGAATTTCTATTTCCATTTTTTTTACAAAGATTTTTCCCTACCTCATTTCAGAGGCTTTATATCTTATCTCAGAGATAACTCAGGTAGGGATCAAAACTTCCATGTGTTCACACCCAGTTCCTGCACAGTCTAAAGCTGTTATCAGATCCTCTTTCAGGTCTGTGAAGTTAAAGCAACCACCTTCCTCTTGGCAATTCTGAAACCATCTTCTTAATTGAGTGCAATCTGATTGTAGAGCTAAGTAAGGCTCTGTAGAAATTTAGAAGAGGTGCTTGGAATTCAGACTTTATTTCTTTTTCACCTGAGAAGTTACTTATGTTGTGACTGATTGTCCTGGTAAGATTCCTTCTGAGTCCTAAAATGAAAGGGCTACACTGCAAAGAGGCATCTATAATTTACTTAGTGTAGAGTTTTTATTTGTTGAATAATCTCTAGTCTTCTCATAAATATTCTGTAGTTAAAAACAGGTGGCATACCCTTTGTCTTGAGATCCTCTGAGTAAGTTATCTCGTGGCGCATCCTTAGTGTTGCACTGGTGAAGGTGTTATGCCAAAGCATCAAGCACATCTAGATTTTTAGGAAAAAGGGGAACTAGTGCCACTCTGTGTCCTGTATTTTTTCCCTACTGTCTTTTATTTTCATCAGGCAGTAGAGAGCTTTGTGTCTCGACTGCAGAAGTATTCTAAATGATGTTACTAGGACTTCTGATGGGCCCTTCTTACTCCCTTTATTTGACTATGACATCTGCTCTTAAGAAAACAACTGTCTTTGTTCTATGGCAGTGACAAATTTGTAGAGCACAAAATTCTTCCTCTTTGCTGATGTTTTTGAATCTAATGTACTGAGCGAATATTAGAAATTTGTCTCCAGCCTTGCAGGTTGATGTGCTTTGATTACCTGTGGGCAAGGAACTTGTACAGCCCCAGGAGTAAACACTGTTCAACCTAACGCGTTCCTGCTTTTACTTTGTCCTCCAAGTATCTCTCACTCTTTGCATTCAGATTCCTTCCAATCACGTCTCTGCTCTTTTTGCTCTAAACTTCCCTGACTTAATTTTCATGGTATTCATACAGCCTGGGAAGCAATGAAGTTGGTTATGCCAGCAGCTGCTCTGCAGTCTTCCACCTTTTCAAGGCTATCACCTTGGTACGCTTTTAGAAATCATATTCCCACCCTTCTAGGGCAACTTATTCCCTGTGCACTAAACAGGAAATGTTTCATTAACCTGAAATATTTTACATTTACTTATTTGCTGTGAGGCATAACTGTCAAAATGAACACCACAATATATGCAGTGTATTTGAAGATCTATTGTGGTGTAGGATAAAACAGCATAGAATAAAGTATTGTGCTTCTTGTTGGATGTGAAGGAAAAAGCAGAAAATAAAGATGGGTAGTATAAAATGAACATGGGAGGATTACAGTCTGTTTCATGCTCATGTTTTATATATTCATGATTCTTCAGGAAGTAGCATTTTGGTGACTCAGACACTAAGAACGCTATCTCTGTAAACTAGAATCAACATCTTGCAAAACAGGTTTTGAATGTACTCACTACTTGCTCATTTGGAAGTTAACATAAGTTAGCTGACTTACATCAAATTTATTTTTCATTTCTGTCTGCTGTCTCTTTCTTTTGCTTCCTTTTATTCATTGCAAATTAGTATGTACAGAAAAAAACTAGTTCACTTAACATTTGAGACAGAGCTGTTTCCAGTATTTTGTTTCCTGATTCATCTTTTATTACACATACTGTAAAAGTATGACCATCTAATTTCATTGCCGTGTTCATTTGTGGGCTTGACAAACATTTTTCTTTCTTGCATCAAGCTGTGACACTGTTATAATAAAAACAGATCTGAAACTCCAAAAGCACGCAGCGTCTCAGAGATTTTACTGTTTGGGGCTGTTACCTTTCTTTGCCCTGTACTCATTTTGTGCTTGCATCTGGGAGGAAACTGTCTTGAACTGGTGGTGAGACTCCTGAACGGTTCCACTTCGAAATTTTGTGGTTTTAAAGATGTGGGGATGCTCTGGTGAAATGAAGGAGCAAAAGTGGGTGGTTTTAATTCTAGCACCCAAAATTTCTTGTTTGAGAAGTTTGAGTTTGCAAAATGCTACGGAAGATGCTAATAAAAGAGGAGTTAGGTTTTTCATTAGTTTACTAAATGTTGTCCCGTGCTTTCTATGAAATACATATTGTTTTTTGTTTAAGATACTTCCAGACTGCAGTAGTCTCTGTCCTTATGTTAATGATCAAATAGAAAATTTGCAAAGTGAATTGTTGCTGATGCTTTATTTGTGCATGCAGTGCTGCAATCGCAGGCTTAGAACATTGGGGAAAGGTACCGTTCTTTTTTGCTGCTGTGTAATGTTTTAGGAGTTTCAGAGGTAGACTGTGGTCTGGTAGACTGGTTCTTAGATGTTATTTAGATGTTATGTGATGGCTTAGGGACCGAATGAAGTGAGTATTTTGGGAGAGGGAGAGGTTTTCACTCATGTTGTAAAACTTTTGCTCGCATGTAAATGATGATGTTAAATTGTTGGGTCATTGGTTTTCATATTGGCACATTATTAGACTTGAGGCCTGTCACACCCTATAAAGGGTGTAAGGTGTCCTTTATAGTAATTTGAGATGCCCTGTTCAAGTTTTTGTTGTGGAAGATTAAACTAGTAGAATAAGAAAGTTGACTGTGCTAAGATCAGTGACATCATACACAAAAGTTTTGGTCTAGTCTGTTACGGATATGGCCTTATAGTGTTTTGTTCTTATTTTTAGGACTCTCCTTTTACAAATGCAGGATTGGGGTCTAACCTAAACCTTCTGGGTGAGATAGAATGTGATGCCAGTATAATGGATGGAAAATCATTAAATTTTGGAGCAGTTGGAGCACTGAGTGGTATGTTAACTATGTATTATAAAACTAACTACTGTTTTATATGCAGAGATCAGTTTGTTTTTTTTTTCTTTTTTGGAGAGGGGAGACATTGTAAATACTGTCCCATTAAAATAAATTCTGCCTCCTTTAAAAAAAGGAGGTGGCATTGCTGCTCCCTGAAGATACTGTTTTGTGGTTTGTGTTGATTTGCTTTGTCTAACATTGTCTTATTAGTTCACTGATAATCCTTTGATGCAGAACAATTGTATGATACTGTACAGCATTCACAGTGGGAGCGAGTTTGCTAAGATAAGTTCATAGAATAACTTTATTATAAAATGCCGTTAGTAGAAGAAAGATTACAAGCCTTTAAATTAGGCTTTATATTTGATTTTGTCGTCGATCTCCTCCAGGAACTGACTGGTATATAATTCTGTCATAAGGTCAATTGAGATTTTGGTCTCTCAGTTAAGATGGTGAAATTAGGATCCTACGGGACCAAAGTTTCCTTGGTAGTGTCAGAAGGCTGTGCGGGGTGCTGGCCTCCAAACTGAAGTGCCTCGTGTACTTTTGAGAATGGATACAGCTGCTAATTTATCAAGCTCTTTGCTTGGGATGTAACGTTTCTGTACGCTGTCGATTTGGACTCATTTTGTGTATTACTCTTGTAAATTTAGATACATTTGCATATGGGACTTATTTAATCTGAGAACTAATGTGCATCTCTTTTTTTGGTTTTAGCTTTCAGTACAAAACAAATATAGGTATACAGTCCCCAGGAAGGATTGTTGAGGTTTTGTCATAAGTACATTGAACAGCCCTAACTGTTACTTCTGAATAGCTTTTCTGACACTGTTTCAAGCTTTGTTCTTTATCCTAGAATAGTTCTAAATCGTGGTAATAACTTCCTCATGTAGATATAAATCTAAAATAAATAGTAAAATAAAGTGTGTCAAGGCTTGTTTGTTATGCAATGTGTCCTTTGGGGAAGGAAGAAATGAGGGAGGGAAAGCTAAGCCTGAATCCTGTAATCTGTGTTCTGGCCAAATAGATCCAAATGAAAGCTCTTACCATCTTGAAAAATTAGTGCTCATAAAACATTTTGGGCTTGTAGAATACCGTAGATTTATTTCGAGATTTCTGTGGTACAGTGGCACTCCTAATATATATCCTAAAAAAAACCCAACAAAAAACCCCAAAAGATGGGGGAAAGTATTGATTAGAAGACTTTGTCACTACTGATAGGGCACGTGAAGGGAAATCTAATAAAGTTATTGAAATGAAACATAACATAAGGTGTTTCTTAATGACTTGGCAAAGCTGTGGAAATGAAACTGACTTCCATTGCCAAAATGAACACTACGATGCTATGTGGAAAAATATTTTAATATTTTGTTCCCATTCTTTTTGCTAATTTTTCTTTTCAGGAATCAAGAACCCAGTTTCAGTTGCAAATAGATTGTTGTGTGAAGGGCAGAAGGGAAAACTCTCTGCTGGCAGAATTCCACCTTGGTAATTGCTTTGTTCTGCTTGACTTTACTCTGGTCTTTCGTCTCTGCTGCATGCAATATTTGAAAGTTGTATCTTATCCCAAGAAGGCTGGTGCTGTTTTACATACCAGTGATAGCGTGCCTTTAAAAAGAAGATAAAGTTTGTTCTCTGATCTTGAAACATCTTGTGCACTTGATGAAGCTGCAGATAGAGTGAAGTGTTGTGAATAGATGGCAACATCATTTTGTATTAATTTCAGTCTGTTTGATTATTTCCAGTTACATGGTACTGAATTGTTACATTTGTTACTTTAGCATTTTGAAAAATCCTTCAATGTATCAAGATTAAAATGAAATTCTACTGCCTTTCTCTCTAGCTTTGAAAAAAAGCAATGTAGTTTTTCACAAGTATATAAAAGAATCCTACTTTACTGCCCGGTTTTGTGGAAATCTGTAGTGTTTAGTAACTTCCTCTTCTTTTAGCCAAAATGGGAAATATTTTCAAGATAGATTTAATAGTATTTACAACAACAATGAAAACATGCGCTGCTTTATTGAGATGGGTATAATACCTAGATCGAAGAAGTAATTACTAAATGCGTAACATTTTAAAATATTATTGCATCATTTTGGAAAGAATCCAAGAAATGTGTCAGAATTGATTGCTCTTAAAAATATCATATTTTCATCAGCAGTTTAAATTGACAAGTAGAGGACTTGAATGATTGTTCATATTAATTGGTTGCTATTATTTTTAAAATAACTGAATGGAAAACAAACTATATCCCCTTGCCCTCAAAGGACAAGACTAAGTCTTTCAAACGCTGTGCAAAGTCCTGGCTAACACATGTCTTTAAAAAAAGACAAGGGAGCTCAAAGTCTCAAGGCAAAAGGTAAACTGTCTTTGGAACCAACACATACAGTTTATCGTGCAGTTGTTGGTGACCTGAGTCACCTAATACATATTTGCATTTCTTTTTTCCCCATTCTGGATTTTGAACGTGTATTTTATTAGAGCAAATTATTTACCCTCGGAATAACCTATATGCTTGGGATTTTATGGGTTGTGCTTTAGAAGTGCTTTGGTAGATGCTCCTGTACATACAGGGCGTCTCAAGTTCAGAACTATCGAGCTCATATCCATTGTAGGTGATGACTGCTGACCATTTCATGCCTTGCCTTTCAGACAGGGTTTGGCCTGACACTTTGTTTTCAGACTGAAATATATTCCTGCACAAGCTGGAAATATATGTAGTCAAATGACAAGAGAGCAGCTGTATTTTGGCATTCCTACCAAGTGTCAGAATTTTAGTAATTGGTTTTTATTTGTAAAGATACACAAGTTTCATTTTGTTTCTCATGGGTAAATAGTGTCATTGGGGAATCTTCCAGATACTGCTTAGCCTAAGCACCTGTCTTGTTAAAGAAACTTAGTGGTAGCACCTGTTCCTATAGCATGATCTAAGCGAGCTTAATGTTTTTTTTGGCCAGAATGTTTAGCATATGACCACGCAAGAAAAATTCAGAAACTGTGAAGTTAGTAAAAGGGGAGATTCTTGTCTGTAAAAGAACATATGGAAGCGACCAGTTCAGTACCTGTTTTATAGTGACAGTTCAAAATCAATTTAAAATGGTACTTTGCTAATTTTCGGTAGAAGAAATTCTGATGAATGTGAATGTATTTGTTTTGAGATGTTAAACTTATTGGGAAGGAGTGGTCAGGTCTCTTAACCAATTTGTTGTAAGTTGCACTGTAGAGTGTGTTTTTCTGGATCAGCATCTTCTTGTCTTGTTCAAAACACAGAATCCCACTATCCAAGTTAAAATTTTAGAAGTTTAAATTTAGAATCCCTGAGTGCATGAGTGGATCTGTTTTAAACTTAATGGGAAGGAGTGGTCAGGTCTCTTAACCGATGTATCCAATTTGTTGTAAGTTGCACTGTAGAGTGTGTTTTTCTGGATCAGCATCTTCTTGTCTTGTTCAAAACACAGAATCCCACTATCCAAGTTAAAATTTTAGAAGTTTAAATTTAGAATCCCTGAGTGCATGAGTGGATCTGTTGAAACTTGTAAAGCCTTTATATCTCTGCCATATTTTATTCAGCTTGATGTTGGATTTTCTCTGCCTATGTATGCAGGAACAGAAAATACAGAACTTGTAAATGTTACCTATTAGCATATAAGATATTCCTGTTCATTGTATAATTTTACCAAAAGAAAACACTGTTATAATTGCATAGTTACATATTGGATGGATGTTTGGAAGTAGTCTTTGGTCACAGAATAATGGATTAGATGTTTAATAATAATGTTTGAAGTTATTCTATTTCTTAGACTGAAACCTTGACCTTAAGGAAAAGGCTTATTTACATCTGTTTTCTATTAAGTGCAGATACGTAAGAGTTGCAGGATGGTGCAAATGCACCTAAATGCTTTATTTCTTAGAACTACTTAGCATTACACCTAAGTTCGTGTCTGTATCCCTTTTTCAGCATTAATAGAATCATAGAATATTAGGGGTTGGAAGGGACAGCTAGAGATCATCTAGTCCAACTGCCCTGCCAGAGCAGGATCACCTATAGAGTAACCTATCTAGGGAAGAATCTCTGAGGGGTTTTTTGTTTGTTTTGTTGTTTTTTTTCTTTTTTCTTTTCCTCTGGGTATACAGGGATTTGTAATTGCTTTACGCAGTTTTACAGTTCTGTAGGTAGGGTATCTACGCTGTGTAACTTGTAGGGAGTGCCCAGTCAAGAGCATGCCTAAAGCGATGACTTGCACCACCATTTCTCTCTGTTCTGTATTTCTTCAGAACAATTTCTTTATAACAGTGATTTCATAGTGATTGCTGCTTTTTACAGTAAATATTACAAAGTGAATTTATTACATTCAGGATTGCCGTGACCATCTTTAACAAACCTAACCTCCTTCTTCCACCTGTGTGTAGCTTTGTGTTGCCTGTTTCACTACAGCCCATGTGAAATGGTCCTCTTTGGAGCAAATAGCGTCAGGGTAACCATATTCTTGAAGAAAATTGCCTAAAGAGACCACTTTAGAGACCTTTACTTGCTTTTTCTGTTAATATGATCTCGTTGGCTTGGAACTGGAAAGCGTCAGTTCCTTGCTGGGAGGGTGTTTTTGTCTTGTGTGTGTTCTGAGCTTTTACCAACTGCAGACTGCTCTTCGTTTGATATATTTGCAAGAAAGATCTTATCTTCTTTGTGCAGAGCCAACTTTCAGTGTAGCAGAGCACAAACTCATTCATCCTTTGTTTTGAGTTTTTCCCCCCTTTGGAAAGCTGTATTTCGAATTAGCCTGGAGACTTTTGAAACTCGGTGGGATTTTGGCTGCTTTCTAGAGCCCACTGGCTTTATTCCCTATTTCCCTCTACCCAATGAATCAAGCTTAGTGGTAGCTGTTGAGAGGAAGTTTTGGGTTTATGTCATCTTAACTATTGCCCTGTTCATTCTTGCCTGCTGCAGCTTTTCTACATGGCTACATGGGTGATTCTAGTGGCAATTAAAGCAGTTGCCAAGTGCCAGACTGCTGGTTCCCACCCGGTCACTGTGGCTGGTACAATGGTGTGGGTGGCTGCGTGTTGAACAGGATCACAGAACATGATTTCGAGGGCTTGTAAAGACCATTTAGTTGTATTTAGCTGATACTTACTGGGCTACCTGCAGTACTGAGTTCATGCTGTGTGTCCAGTAGGAGTCTTTTACTAACAAATTCTGTATCAATTTATAGGAGATGCAGTAGAGGTAGTACAGGCAACAAAAACTGTTTATTTTACCTTTTTTTTTGTTTATGCTGTCCTTTCAAGACATCTAAACTGAAAAGTTTAAAAGAAGTGGATGATCTCTGTGGTGTTACGGGTCCTCAGTTAGACGTCTGCTTCGTTCTAACTGTTCTTTGGGACCAGAACTGGAAAAGACTGGGAGAGGACAGCCAGAGTTATCTAGAGTTACAGATACAGCTGTGAGCGAAGTGAAAGTCACATCACTTCAGTTTTGAGACATTTTTGGGTGCTTTTTTTGCCCTCTTATAGTGACCGTTACTGTGGTTTTAAGTTTTAAATAGGCAATTGTGAGATTGCTTGTAAAATGCACTTTCTGACTCATCTGTGCTGTTGAAGTTACCGTATATAAAACTTCTGATATTTGAGCTTGGTACTCGCTTCAACTACCTTTGCTCTCTGTGTAAATTGTTTTAGTGAACAGCAAGTGCTAATTCACTTCTTGAAAATGCATTGTTGATAGAAAACTATTTCTTCTCTTAGTCAGTGGAGAATACTACTTAATTAGGTTTGGCTACAATTTGCAGTTCTCTCTTTTGTTTAATGAAAGTGACAGGTTGTTTCTTGAGCACTAGCTCGAGATGCTCGAGTTCTCCTGAAATAACCAGTAACTTATTCTACAATATCTTGCAACATGAGCAATGTTTATCTGGAGCTGCACTGACAATGGTAAGAAATATGTATTTAACAATTCAAATTCTCATCTGGATAATTTTTTTGGGATACTTTTGTAATGAAAGAATGGACACACCTCTTGTATTGGTTAAGTCATAGCAAAGACGGAAAGCATGACCTCAAAATACTATGTACTGGAAGTTGCAAGTGTCAGATACAGCATTGTCAAGAAAACTTCCAACAGCACTAATGCCAACAAACTTGCTGTATCAATAGCATTCTCAGAAACTAGTTCTAGATAGCCCCAGGGACTACTTTGTAGCTGAAATTACTTCTTTAACCTGATTTATAAGTCTAGTATTTCCATAATGTTTCTTGAAGTTGCTGTAAATCCTCAGTCTTTACTCCTGGTGATTAGGGAGTTGTGTTATTCTTAATTCAAACAGGGGAGATAAGATTGGAAATAGTTGTCCTTTAGCGTGGTGTTGTTGGTACTGTTGTGCAGCAGCTTTCTGAAAATGTGTGATTTCCAACTACTTACTCCAACCCCTTTTCAGTGAATTTCTTTAAGGGGAAGGGGAAGCAGTGCAGATAATTGAGGCTTGCTTTCTGCCCCCCCCCCCCCCCCACCTC